GCGAGAATCTACTTCATACCCATATGGCGTAGCCACCCACCCGGAGCGAGGCTACATGGACATCTTCGTCGCCCCGTCGCTAGACCGCGCTCGCAGCGCACTACGGTCGCGCCCGCGCGATCGGATTTTTGAACCCGTCGAAACTCGCCTCCCTTCCCTTTTTCAACCGCCAGTTTAAGTCTAGAGTATACCTTGCCTATTTTGAAGAAATCGGTGCGGTCGTTATCGCTTCTCAAAGTTGTGTCTTGTCTACTGCGTTAAATATGAGTTCTCAAAATCTCTGAAATGTCTGTTGACGACACGAAGCTGTATTGCACCTGCAGAAGCCGGTATGATGGAGAAAAGTAAGTATAAAAATATTGAGGGATTTGATGTTGTATGGGCCATGCGGTTTCTCAACTCACACAATGAGGTTATAACGTAAAAAATTGCATATTCCATGCTTCTTCAGAAAGAAAAATCTTTCAAGGCCTCAACAAAATGATAATTGTCCTGCTCATATATGTGATTGTCTTGCTTTTGGTTCCGGATAGTCCACCAGTATTGGTCCAAGGTGACACCCATGACAAGCAGTGTCATAATTTTGCCATTGTAACTGTAAAATTAGGTCGTTGACAATGAAAAATACGTAATATGATATCAATGTGTCATAATTCAAAACGTTCAAAACAATGAGATAGGCAAAAATTTGACTCAATGTTCATTTGACAAATGCTCTCACTGCCTGGGAATGCTTGGTTAAAGTGTCAAACTGAGATGTATATATTTATCCATTGGAGACTGCTTTGACAAACAGCGCTGCTAACAAATACGCTGGAAAACTGTGTTGTTGAACTGTAGTATTGATTTCAGATTCATGTTGAGTTGTGATCTGTGTCTGAACTGGTTCCACGGTGTGTGCACCAACATTTCAGAAGATGGTATATGGCACTAAAATTAATGTTTTGTGATGCTGACTTAATACTTAACTTATGCAGTCATCTAACAATATTTTATTTCCAGAGGTTCCCAACACATGGTTTTGTGATAATTGCACAGCTCTGAATAACATGCGCAAACTACTATTGAAAGTTAGTTAGCTAGTTGTGGTTCCTTTTTCAAAGTTTGAAATTTTAAAATTAATTGTTATAGTTACACTTATCATCCCTTGTTGTTTTACAGGATATGCAAGAGCTGCTTGTGCAGAAAGATCAGACACAGCTGCAGAAGATAGATCAGGTATTTGCTTTGTTTTGCAACTACATTATAACT